GCTACCCTTCGGGGTTCTCCAAGAGGAGGCGGCGGGGGGCGCTGCCTTTCAGCAGGTCGCCTCCGGCTGCCCCGGAGCCCCTTTACCTCCTGCCGCGTCCGGTCCAGCCTCGGGAGTGATGGCTCCGGCGCCGGTAGCGGCGGCGCTGTCCGCCTCGTCCGGCACCTCCAGCTCCATGGCCGCGCGGGGAGAGAGTGAGGCTGGGCAAACACAGACCCCGGCCCCGGTCCGGCCGCCGCGCCCCCTCCCGCGGCCGCCGCTGACACCAGCACGAGCCGCCGCTGAGGAGACTGGGAGCCGTGACGGGCCGCGGGTACCACAGAGAGCGGGCACCGCGACTAGACACGCCCCCGAGAGCCCAGAGGCGGGAGGAGACCATAGAGAGCAGGGAGGCAGAGGTAGAGCGGCGCTGCACGGGCCGCAGGCCGGCTTGGGCCATTCCCGGAGGGGAGGGGACCATAGAGGTGGTCGGTGGCTAGAGCGGCGCGTTGAGCGGAAGTCCGCCGGGGCTGGGAGCTGGGGGTCACTCGGGGGCAGAGGCGGCTAGCTGTGCCCGCACGTGCTCCCCAGGCTCGGGGCTAAATTGGGGCCTGCATCTCCTCCTTCTGCACAGCCCCAGGTGGCCGGGGTACCCGTGTCGGCTTGCTCTGCTGGCAGTATGACAGACCTCCAGGGCCGAGAAAATCGCGGGGGTGGCAGGATGAGGCCGATGGGTCCATCCCCTGGGTGGCCATTCTACCGACTAGGAGCTCTTGAGAAATAAAAACACCCTAAACCATCAGCTATACCCGTGTTTTTCCTCTGGAAGATGCCCTTCAAAGAACTCATTCCCTCATCTCCATTTTGGCTCTGTCCAGCCCAGGGTTGTAAGATATTGTTTTAACAGGTTTTAACGAGGCTGTGATTCACGCGGCAAAACTCCTGCTTTAACACCTAGCGAACTGGTCGAGGTCCAAACCCGGTCTTCCATCTTGGACTAGGCCTGTCTATCGCACATTAAAACGCACATTGACCTGTCCACACCAGCTCCTTAGGATACGTTCGGTCTTGTTTACACACAGCCATCAGTGTACAGTACGACAGGATGTGAATTTGCAGCACAGCTTCCCGTCGCTAGCTTGACTGTTGGAGCACATTTGCAAGGGATAGTGCAGCGTCATGCCGAGGCAGCTGAGCTGATGAGCCAGTTTAGGCACTGGAAATAAATTTTGCTGCGTTGGCATGGAGCTCTGCCCGTTTCTGTTGAGAAGCAGGGCATATTAGCCCAATGCATTAGCACAGCCAGATGGCCTCTGTTCCTCAAACTGGCCGGTTCAGAGCTGGCTCATAGGGATACGGTTAGGGCTTGGCACAGGTTCAGTTTGTGCCGTTCCCAGTGTGTGGAGTTGTGTGCTGTGAGCAGAGTTGGGATGTGAGGAGCAGGCTCTGGTTCATGTTCCCAAGCCTGAATGTATCCTGCTGACACTCCACCACCTGAGGGGGCTGAGCAGGTATCCCAGTACGCAGGGGTTCCCCTACCTTAGTTGACATCAGAGAACAGGGTAGGAAAGCAAGCGCTGATTACTTGTCTGGTTGACACTGCCCCTAGCTGAGGGGAACTAAGGCACAGGGGCCAGAGGGCTCATGGGAAAAACTGAGGAACTGAGGTTTAGGAGCGACACTGGTGCTCATTTCCTTGTACCCTGTTAGAATCCGAGCCCCTGATACAATGTGGAAAGGGCTCATGGTAGTTCACTGCTCATTGGAACAGTTAATGGTTAATTCTTGCTTCCAAATCACTGAATGGAAAATCAATCCACTTCTACCCCCTTCTGCCCCACCCTTTCCTGCCAGCAAACTGTACTGCCCTGAGCACTGTCCACACCACACTTGGTTTCTTTGGGAGGTTTCTAGGATTGCTTTTTTCCCAGCATTTTGAAACCTTTTTTTGCCATGACCCGCTGCTGGGAGGGTGTGTGACAGCGGCAGGGGCAGGAGCAAGGGATCTCCCAGCATGCGACACAGATTGTCCCCTGTGCCCGGCACCATTGGCATTGCCCCCATGACCCTCATTTGGGTCGTGACCCAAGGATGGGAACCGCTGAAGTAGAGTCTGGGTCAAGGGAGAGATGAGCCTTGGAGCATAAGGAGAAACAGAGGGCACTCTGGGATGCTGGAGTAGGGTGATATCTCTGTGGAGTAGGTACACAGTTTGATGTCACTCAAGATAAACCTCAACCTAAAGGGCACAACTTTTACTTTTTCCTCACACTTTCAATGTCACAAATGGCTTGAAAGTGTATCTGCTTGTACTCTGGGATGTCACAAATGCTCTTGGAATGACACAAATTGAATGCGTTCCAACACTTTGTAGTACGTTACTGCAGGCTGTTGCCCATCTTCCCTTTCTCTTACCAGAGTACCACTTCCTGATGGTGTGAGAGAGAAAAGGAAGCAGATCTCCCAGACACAAACCCTAGAAGTCCCACATCGCTACTGTCATTTATTAAATAATAATAATCATAATTTATTATGTGTATTGCAGTATCACTTAGGGCCCCTAGTCATAGACCAGGAACTGACTGTGGACAGTCTTCAACCAAATACAACATCTAAGCCTCATTTTGGATGAGAGGGCCTTGCTATTAACAATGAAAAATGCTGTATCCCCTTCTCCCATGGAAGCAAATACACCTGTTGTGCAATGTACTCAGTCCTGGTTGAATAAGAAAGCAAGAATCTGTTCCCTACACTGATGTGAGGTCTCTAGTATTACAGTATTTATTATTTTCTATCCAGGAGACTTAATTCACCAGGAACTTGCAATAGGCTGAGTTGCATTTGTCTGGGTGTGACCTTTGTGACTGGCTGTTTTCACAATAAAACAGCCAGGGTGTGTTTGTGGGTGACTGTGCACGTGTAAACTAGAAGAGAGGATGTTGGTAGATACATAATCTCATGTTGGTTTTCTTGTTTGTGTGGCTTTGAATTTTGCATTAAATTTGTTTGTTTGTTTGTTTTAGTGAGTATTTTAAGTTTTTATTCAGCTAGTTTTTCAAAACCTTTGAAGAGAGAGAAGATGTGAAGAGTTTCTCTCAGTGAGTGCCTATCTCATGCAGAGCTGCCCCATGTAAGTTTTGCTGGCAGAAGTTTGCACATGTCTACACACAACATGCCTTCAAGGTAGAAAAATCCCTTAGCTTTACCTAGAAACCGTCTGCCACCCAAGAGCAATCTGCTAACCACAGCAATCCTTCAGAAGCAATCCCATACTTCCTCTCTGGAGTCTGGTTTAGACTCCACCGCCTACAGCCCAAACTAACTGCCCCCCACCCCCCTTTTAAAACCAGTCCATCATTCTGAAAACACCCATTCTCTATCACCAGCACATGGGAGAGTCAGCAAGTTGACTAGCCAAGATAGGCTGTCATGCAATGCCTAAGCATTTGACTGGAGTAGAAGGAAGCTTGTGGGTTCAGGGAGCTGTTCAATTCCAGCTCCATGAAGGAACCACCATGTGTTTGAGGAGATGGCTGTGGGGAAGGCGGCTGGGGGAACACATTGAACAGCAAGCAGTGCAAGGCAAATGAAAGCTGTTTGCAGGCCTGTCACAGGATGGTCTTCCACAATGAACATTTAAGACATGCCCTCTTTTTATGGAGCTGGAGGCAATCCAAGGCAAGGACCTATCCATAAGCGGTGGGGGGAAATATTATTGGGGAGGACTGAGCCCTGCCTGAACTCTGCCCCTCCCTCCCGCATGGCTGTTGCAGGGCCAGCATGTGCTGGTGCTGTACGCAGCGGCGAAGGAGTGGCTGCATGCCAAACAGCACTGGGCGCTGTGGGACGATGCTGCTGCTGCTGTTGTCAGACACAGCAAAAAGTTTTGGGTGCTAACAGTTAGCCCCAGCCTTTCACCGCCTATGCCCCTATCACAGTCCATGTCTTGACAGTGGACATTTTGAAGGAGAGCCCAGTGAACCACGGGGAGGAAACATGACTGTGCTCTGCACTAAGGAACAGATCAGCCTTTCTCAGGAGGAGAAATGGGATGAGCTACTGATGGCCAGATGCTGTTTGAGACCCAGGAGAGTCACAGCCAGGGATGGTCCATGCAGCTGGACAGTAGCGAGGTTCAAGAAACAAGCTCTGGCAAATGCTACAACTTCTTGTTTTCCCCTGTGCCTGCCTGTTCCTTGGCAGACTCTACCCCTTCTGTTTGAATTTTGCTGTAAGAGCTGCTTTATTGACCACTCCTTGCCCGGGCACATAAAGGAGAGAAGAAAAGATTTGTTCCCTGGACCATGAAAAGTGCCCTTCCCCACTCAGATGGAGGTGGTGATTGTTTTAGGTCCTGCAGAGCATGGTGTGCTGCAACATGAGCATGATGGGGCCATGTGTGCACAGGCACGTTGCTGGGTCAGGGAGTCAGTCAGGAGCGGCGTCTTGATGGGGAAGCTGCTTGTAAATACTGGGTGGCCATGAGCTTCTAAAACAATGGAGTACCATGCGCAGAGGCAGACGGGAGAAGATGCAGTCTTGACAGGGAGTTTTAGTGAGGTCATGGTGCAGTAGCAAAGTGCTAGCTTGAGACTCACATTGAGAAACTTCAGCTTTGCAGTTGATAGGGGCTGCGCCACCTGCCTGAATAGACAGCAACATCCATTGCTCCCTGGGGCACCTACAGCAAGTGCCATAGCAGATATTCCCACAGCCACTCCTCCGCTCCTTCAGGTTCTTGGAGACAGCAGCCTTAAGGGAGGACAGCCCAACAGAGTATTGCTGCAAACAGGTAGGCAATGAAGTGGCTCATGTGCTCCCCAGTCTCCAGCAACATCTCCTTCCTCTGAGCCTTGGTGACCCACAGCAGGGAGACATTGCCCAGATCAGCTGCCTACAAAGAATTTAACATTTTGCTTAGCACTGTGGGCAGGCTTGAATTTCCCTGCTTTATTCTCCCTCTCTGCAGAGGCCCAGCAAGCTCACCAGGTCACTAGTGGAACAGGCATCTAGCAGTAAGCAAGCCCTGCAGGCTGAGCAGCATCTGTGCTGCCGCCTCTAGCAAGGCTAGGAGAGGAAACATTTAGAGTTTTCACTGCTTTCCTTTGTGCCTGAGCTTTCCTGTCTTCATTACTGGCCTCAGCAAGGCCTTGAGCAGTCCCTGGCTGACTGATGTGGAAGCGAAAGAGGAGAACAAGGAGGGACATGTGTGATAGGAGGTTGGGATGGTTCAAGCAATAGGAGACCTGGAAACAGAAGTGGGAGGAGAGGATGCTCTGAAAATGCCAGAAGGAGCAGAAGGCCGGGAGGGGAGGGGAACGGCATATGACACAGCTCCTCAGGCAGAAACTCAGACCCC